GAGACAACCGGAGAGAGAGAACGAGAGGAGACGCGCGCGGAGCGTTCCTAAAATTATTCCCCTTATCGGTCAATCGCGGTGTCAGGATATATATATATATATATATATACACTTCTATCCGTTACATGTGCGCATGTACACGCATACGCGCGTATTACACGGCGCACACGCACACACGGGGCGCGTAACAGGCGAACGACGATCGAGATCCATATCGGAAAGGACAAGGTGCCTCTGTTCTACGTGGAGAGAACTCTCTGGGTGCATTCTCTCGGTCCTCTCCTCCTCCTTCTTCTTCTTCTTCACCTACTCGCAGACGCGAGTCGTAAAGCATACGCAGGTCTTCGTCCTGCGTGTTTCATTGCCTCTTCGTTCTCTTAATAAGCGACTTAACGCGAATTCCACCTCGTCGCATTTACGTCGGACGAGGGAAATTCAAGCTTTACGCCACGTCAGCTCACATCGCCGAGTCGGCCTTTCATCCGCCTCTAATTACCCGGACTTTGTCCCGGACGGGGCCTTAAATTACACGTCGAATTGTTTAATCGTCCAAACGGACGAAGTTCCCGAGCTTCCCACAGACTTAGCGATTAAATATTCGCCGACGTTACTTCGTTGCTCGGTGTTACTTCTTTCGAATGATTTGTCGCTTGGAACAAACCATTAGTGTTTGACAACCAGTAACGTTTGAGTGAAAATACGATGGAAATGTGTCGCTCGACGTAAAGATATTTATCGTTTGTGAAACGAAACAATCTTGTTTATCGAATCAGGCATTCGTTTGCTCCAAAAGACAAACTTATTTCAATCAAAGAAATTTTATCAAGCCCAAAGGGATCTTTTTCTCTGCGTACTGAGAGAAAAAGAAATTTCCAGAAAATATAAAATATTGGTTATTGGGTGCTAATGGTATTATTTACTTACACTAATATACATATTTCTGCAGTGGTAAAATTTTGCTCGACTAAACAGATTCCCTTAAAACTTTGATTCTTTGAAAAAAAAACAATTGTTCCTTCTTTTATTTAAATAACAAAATTTAAATTTAAGTAAATATGTCACAAGTATCCACCATGAATAAAAGTATCTTTTATTCCTTGGATATTTCCCTTCTCGGAATGCTCGCGAGATTATTGTCGAACGGATGCTGCAAAATCACCATAATTACTGCCCCCCCTAAAGCACCAGCTACTTTATTATTCCCATTACTGTCATCGCACACGGCAACGAGACCTGCTGTCGCGCTTGATGGCGCTTTTCTCTTCTTTTGCGAGGCGCTCCGCGAGCGAGGAAGGTCGCACGTCCGCGAATATCTTTGCGCGGCGATCGATTATTCAGCGGCCGATCGATATGAAAATTTGAGCGCATTCGCGCGCGGCCGCTTTTCCGCGATCCGATCTTTCATTCATCGGCCGCGATTTCGTATGCGATCCGCGCGCGGTTGCATCGTGTGTGACCGCATCAATCTGCATTCGAGGCTCCGGTCTTCCTCCACCGGCCGTTTATTTTTCGCGTGTCTCTCCCTTTCTCTCCCCTATATTTCGTGACTCCACCGTTCGTTTTCTCTTTCCCGATTCTCACCATTTTTTTCCGCCGACGGTGGAGGAGACGGTTTCATCCGCGTTCTCCCTCTCTCTCTCTCTCTCTCTCTCGTCTCTTTTGTTTGCACCTCGCACTTTCGGACACCGAACGCAGCCTCTCCGAGCCGGTGATTCCTATTAAAATCCGCTCGTATTGTATTCAAATTGGTTCGAGCTTTCGCGTCCTCCTTTTCTTCACCTTCGCCCTCCTCGTCGCGCATCCTCCCCGTCAACTCCTTCCGCTCTCTGTCGCGAATGCTCGCTTATTAGAAGCCCTATTAACCGCCGGCGGATCGTGGCGGCTCGTTTTCGTGCGTTTTCAACGGTAACCGCGTCGATAAACGACGCGACACGCCGCCCGTAATTGTATAATCGCGCGCGCACGCGGTCCTCTCCCGCGCTCTCGTACAAATAAAAAGCGGCAATTCGCACGAGGAGATAGGGGGCGGCCGCGCGTCCTCCTCTCCGCCACCACCGCCGTCGCCGAGAGGGCGACCGTTAATTCGGCAAATTCGGCCAATTGCGTAATTCCGAAAAGAGTCGTTGACCGTCTGGACGCCGCCGGGTTTGGGTGGTGCGAAAGACGGTGAAAAAAAAAGAAATTTGCGCCGAGGGCTGCGGGCGATCGAGCGACGGGGGGGGGGAGGAAGATGCGCCTCCGCACTCACTCATGTACAGACGCGCACATACACACCATTTCTCTCTGTCCCTCTCTCTCGTGTCCAGCGCAATACCGGGAAACTTTTCCCCCAAGTTGGCAGTTGCGTCACGTCGCGGCGACTACAAAGCGCCGCGACTCCTCTCCTCCCGCCAACCCGCCGGCCAGCTCGCGATGCAACACACAACACTTGCATACCATACTTATTTCGTACTTAAGCATTGCACGGAGCGCGTGCGCATCTCTGCACACGCACACGAGCGAGCCTCGGCCGGGCGGCGTCAGCATCGGCGGATAAACAAAGGATTAATTAATAGAGGTGCGCGAAGCCGCGCACGCCCGCACACACCGGACTTCCCTTTTCTTCCCCTTTCGCGCGCGAATCGTCGAAGGAAGTTCTACCTTTCCTCCTTCTCTCTCTCTATCTCGATTCTTTCCGCGAAATGTCCTTCGTTCGGTAAACGCCGACGGCGGATGCATCCCGTCGTTTTCGGCACATCGACGTAGAAACGATCGAATATTCCCCCTGTCTCAACATAAATGTTCGCCTTCTCACATTACATTTTCGTCTCACCTATCATTTTCGTCTCCTTCGAATACACATTTCTATTCAATCCGTGCGCTGAAAAAAGAATTATCTGATCTAAAAATTAAAAAAATACATTAATTCAGCGGACACTAATAACACATATATATATTTACTTAATGCATATTTTTATATTGGGTACAAGTTTTTAAATGGAAAGATACATTTCTTTGAATCTGTAGTTCTTTATGAAAGCAGTTGTTTGCTTGAAAGTAAAGGAATTCAGAGACTTAAGTGAATGTGTTATTGGTACCGAGTAAATATTTTTACTTTTTTTTTACATAATTTTTCCCTCAACGGGATACTTATTTTTATTTCAATTTTCTCTCCTCCACTTCTTTTTATATTCTTTTTTTTCTATATTTTGTCTATATCTTGATATATATTTGCTACATATAATTAATTTTAATTATACCATATTAATATCACTATTTTTGATAATGTACCTGTGTACTGCTCCGACAGGATTTATATCTTAGAGTGTAATAAAACCCGTTTTCCACTCCATTCCTATCCCTATTCCTTGCTCTCACGTGTGCTAACCCGAAGAAACGCGAGCCTTCGCTTGCCGCGCTCTAATTCACCGGTTAACGATCGACAAGTTTGACTTGGCGAAGATCGTCCTCGGCGCGTCTCGTTCGCGCCGAATGCCGTTTCTGCTGCCGCTCCGGCCGTTTATTTTTAGCGGGCGCATATTATCATTAATTTCGATCGCGAGGCATAAGAAGCCGACGACCTCCTTCTTCTCCTTCTCTCTCTCTCTCTCTCTCTTCGTCGGCGAGAAATAATATCGTCGCGCGTGTTTCCGTGCGAGTGCGGACGAGGCGTGGCCGCGCGGGGGAGAAGCTCGTCGGTGACGTAGCATCGCGAATTGCGCTCGAGGACTGTCGATTCGTTAATTGCACCGGCTTCCAGAGACTACCAGGAATCTGAGGGATTCCTTAATTGCGCGCGCTCTCGTCTACTGAGAGCCGACGAAATAACGCGCGTCGCGACGTCTTGTCGCGGAATCGACTCCGCGGCGGGGACCGACGTGACTCGAGAGATGTGTCGATATTTTATCATTTCTTTCGTAGGACCGACTAAATTTCTCCTTGGCCCCGATGCAGGCATCATGTGAACAATTTTTGTCTCGCGTCATTCGCGTTTGCAAAATCATCAGACTCTCGTGAAACACGATATCTCGGTTCGATCTCTTTCAACGACCGTGACATAAGACGTCGAATCTACACTCTCGATTCGTGCCGTGGAAGGAAGGTGGTCGTCGTCGTGACTTCCCGTGAGGCGGGGATTTGCAACTGTTGCTGCAATTAGCGCATTCGCATGCAAATCGGCCCGGTTCAGGGAAATAATGAGCGGCTAACGAATGTAAATGCGTTAATTACGTGCCCGACGCCGCTGATTACCCGGGCCGCGAGAAAGAGTTTTGCGGGACAATTTCGCGGATCTCGATCTAATCCTAGAGCCCAACGAGAGAGAGAAGCGCGGGCGACGACGACGACTATCTTCTCGTCTCGTTTCATCTCCTTTTTCCGACGCTCAATTACCGCGCGCGCTCCACTTTTTTCTCGAGAGTCGTTCCGTTCCGCCGGTTTTCCGAAATCCGAACTCGCCTCGGCCAGCGACGATCTTTCGTCGAAACGCGCCGATAAAAATTGAATTGTATCGCGGTGCGAATAGAAACACAGGGAAAGCGAGACCGACTGACACGCTGACACTCGCGGACGATAAGGACGGAAGGAAAATTGATCGGTTACCGCGCGGTCTCCCCACGTTAACGCGGGAATCCGGCTGGAACGTTGGCCGGGTTCGGCGAAAAAAACGTAGATTGAAGTTTAGAATAAAGAAGCGAGTGTACCCCCTCCCCCTCCTAGGCTGCCGTCCGTCGAACATGCAACGCGCGATGATTTATTTACGATCCCGCATGCAGCGTACGAGCGGACGAGCAACGCGCAACGGTCGAACGAAGAAAACGCATCGCGTTGCACTCGAGTGAATAACGTCTTCCGACGATCGCGATGTTCCCCCCTCGCCTCTTTGCCCACCCGACCACCCTTTTTTTCCGCGCGTTTTTATCGTTATTAGGCTTTTCGTTTCTCCCGGATTTGTCGTTCTCGCGCCTACTACCGTAGAATAAACTCCAAACTTAGCGAATTGTTGTCCACGACTGTTGCAGGTGAACCGGCCGCTGACGATGAAGAAGGAGGGCATTCAGACGAGAAACAGGAAGCTCTCGTCGAAGAGCAAGAAGAAGAAGGCCGGCGGCTGCTTAGGCCTGGGTGTCATGGGAGACATGATCAAGGCCAGTGGACACCTCGATCTCGATAACAAATCCTTCCACTCGGGCTTTGGAGCGCCGATGGGTAAGTCGAGAGCTTTATCGTTCGCGGCGCACGCCAGGGTTCGCCGAAATTGACCCATTAGGGGCCGATGTTCCATTTATGATACGCGACTTGCTTATTCGATATGAAATCACTCGGTCGATGTTACGTCATTTTACCCTTTTGTTTGCCGCAACCGATTCCCAATTACGTCCACGTCGACTATAGAAAAAAAAATAATCCTAACACTAAGATCCATCTCGAGGAATAGACCGACGACCCTTCAGTTTAGAAACGCTTGTGAAATAATTATGGCCTTTAATTCTCAATATTCTTCGCATTCACGGATAAAATCCATATATTCACAATGATAACGATATATAATAATATATATTTCACGCGAACACTCCGACCACATCGCTGTCGCTGAATAATCTCGCGCGTTCAGAATTTTTTATGCTTATACCAGGTTCCCTGGTTTTCGATCGTTTTTGCGGGGATGACCGAAAGAAACGCGAGCCGAAATCGCGAGAAAGGAAGGAGAGAAGGATAGCCAGGCGAAACTACGAAGCGCGGAGGTTAAAAGAGCGCGCGCCTCTCATTATCGTTCCAGGTACGTCGCAGCATCATCACACGATGCATCCGGCGATGCAGCATTACATGTATCACACGGGTGTCGGCGTGGCCGGAGGTCTTCATCAAGGATTTGCGCCACCGGCGCCGCCCCCCATCCACCCGCACTCGCATTCGCATTCCCATTCTCATCACATGACGAGTCTTCAGGGTCTGCAACTGACGACGAACGCGATGGTAAGTGCGCGATGATCGTTACCTCCACCGCCGGCGATTGGCCAAAGGGTCGAGCCGCCGATAATCGATCAGGATCTCTCTATACCGCGCGCTGACTCGTCGCCTGATTCGTCGGTCGGTGGAACTCGACGATAATTCAACGGCGATATCCCGCTAACGGCCGTGCTCTCGATGCGCGCGATTTCTGCAATCTCACGAGGTTCCTCCGCGACTCCGTCGCTATTCTCTGCCCTCACGCTATCTTCTTTCTTCCTCCCGGGTCGAAATGTCGATTGACAAACGTTCCGATTCTACACGGAGATGAATCATTTTGTCGTAGCGCGGAAGCTATCGTTGTTACAGCATATTCGTTGCAGCAGCGGCAACGTTTAGTCGGCATAATTAATCGTTCGTGAATCGTTATTATCGTCCGTCAGTCGTATCTCTTTTCTCATCTCGCCCAATTTTCCACGTAGGAATTTTCACGCGACGGGGAAAATGTAAAACGCGCGACGGATCTTAACGTCGATCTTGATCGAAAAAAAATGCGACCCTCCCCGAGAATTTCATCCCGATCGCCGCCACCCGTGAACTTTTCGTCTTCGTCGTGTCCCAAACGGCGCGTCTACCTACGGGGATCGAGAAAAGGAACGCCGCCTTCGTTCGCGCGACTCCCAAGTGAAGCGTCCTAAAGAGCGGTAACCTTTGTCTGCTTACAGAGCGGCTGGCGGTCGGAGTACACATGAATCGCGAGTGACTAGCAGCTCAGGACGCAGCCCACCACTCCCCCGTTGTAATGTAATAATTAAAGAGAGAAAAGAAAAGAAAAGAAAAGCAGAAAAAAAGACGAGAGAAAGAAGGCACGAGGGAAAAGCGACAACAGCCGCAACAACCGCAAGCAACAAGCGAACGCTCCTCTTCTCTTTCTCGCTCGCGCGGGCCTCCTTTTCTAATTAGGTAAGGGAGCACGATCGATCACTGACGACACACGAAAAATCCCGATGCGCGGTTTTATCCCCCCCCCCCCCCNCCCCCCCAAGACCCCGGCGCGTCGTCCGTGGTGACCGGTCGTGGACGACGACGACGTGGTCGGTCGCACGGTCACGCGGCGGAGCGAGATAGCGCGTCGTCCGTCGGATCTCTCTTATATAAATGGAACGAAGCTCCTGTAAATATGTAAAGTTTTATGTCGGGGCCTGTCGAAGTCCCGGCTCCAAGTACAAACAAAGTCAGCTACTATATCGAGTCTTATATATGAGATACTTATAGCATGTAAATAAATATGAATTATATAGACACAAGAATTTATATATAATTAAACGTGCGCGTGGAGACGGGCAAATGCGAGAACGCGCGCGCGTGTGTGTGTGTGTGTGTGTGTGTGTGCGTGAATGTGCGCCGTAAGTGTGTATGTGTGCGTGAATGTTCACGAGACACCCGCAGAGCGACGACCTTCTTTTAGGTAGCTCCTCCTCATCTCGGAAGATGCTGGGCGAGCGGCCGAACGCCGCTGGAGCATCGCGCGCGACCACCTTCGGCGATTCCTCGAGTCTCTCGCGCGAACGTTCGGCGAGGAACTTCCTGATGCGATCGCCGGTGATCGCGCCCGGAATCGGGATGAAGGAGAGATAAAGGGACAGACCGCGAGGAAAAGGAGGGTCGTCGCGGGTGTCGGGGAACGAGTCGGAGAGCGCGTGCATGAGGAGTCGACGCGATATCGTGCAATTTTCAAGAGCCGTTTATTCGACGGCAGTTAGTAACCTTCGGTGCGGGATCGTTTGGACGTTCTTCGGGGGTCCTCGCCGTCGGTCGATCCGCGGCGAGGCGTGGAGACGGACGTTGAAGAGAGAAAGAGAGAACTCGTCGGGTCCCTCACGAGTCGTTCGGCCGGAATTAACGAGACGATGACAGGGACCGAACGAGCGAGTGAGCGTACGATAGAGAGAGAAAGAGAGAGTGAGTGAGTGAGAGAGAGAGAGAGAGAGAGAGAGAGAGAGTCGGTTGTGAACGTTTATTTCGCGAGGACCACTGTGGAGTCGCGGTACACGCGGCACCTATCGTTCGCTCGCTCGCTCGCTCGCTTAGCTTGTGTAATAATCTGACTGACGAATGGTTTTTCACTTTCCGTGAGCTTTGCGCAGCAGTAACGATCGGTACATATCGCGCAAGCGCGACCGGTATATCTTTTAGGTAACGTTTGTCGCGGCGCAACGCGTCAATTAAACCGTTGTGTAACGGTTAAATGATTGCATCGCGCGACTTTTCTTTCTTCCGCTTTCCAAAGAGGCGTTTAGGGGGGGGGGGGGGGGNGGGGGGGGGGTGAGAGAGAAGGTGAACGTTTAAAACGCGACTTATTCTCGAGGAATTGAAACGCTTTTCTCACGACCGTCGAGAGAGGCACGAGTCGCGAATGATTGTCTCGAAGAGCGAAACGTACCGGGTTAATATTTCTTTTTCTTGTTTGTCCCTTCCCCCTTTTCGAAGACTTTCGAGTGTACCTTCCCTCCGTGTCGGCTGTCGGCGTCCATTCGTCCAGCACCGTTCTGTGTGTCGTACCGGTTAGTGATAGAGTTCACGTAGCTGTAATAAGGCGCATAGGGTAAAATTCCGTAAATTATACACGAAGCCTTCGGCGATCGCGCTCGGTCGGTCCGGCGAAAAGAAAGAAGACGACGAGTCGACGCGATCGCCGGATCGCATACGAGCGTTTTAGCTTCATAATTTAGTCACGGCGAACACGAGGAGTTTCCACATTTTTACACACAGAGACACCGAGAGAGAGAGAGAGAGAGAGAGATACACTCGCTCCGCAACATGTACGATCACACATATACACACACATATACCACACTGACACGGACAGCGGCAGTCAGCGCGTAGTGGAACACAAGTGAACACGCGGTTAAAGGCGGAAGTGTAAATTTTGTATCTTCGAGATTGTGTATCGTTATTGTAATAATAGTATATATATATATATATATATATGATATACGAAAGTATATATATATATATATATATATATATATGCAAATGGAGAAGAGAGAAAATAAAAACTATATATATATATTTCGAGACGTGCGACGGTCGACCGTCGCGCGCGTTAAGTGATTGTGCATAATTAGCAACTAATTGCGCATCTCGTAAACCCGCATATAGATAGTCAGCAGGATGTAATTGACGACTCATCGGCGAGCGAAGAGCCACGAGAGAGAAAGGTCGTACGGGGGTGAGAGCGCCGGGCGATCGTTAGTACATTGTCATTGTCGATCATTCGATTGATTGTCCATTGATTGATTGATTGCTACTCGTGAAAGACTCACTCGCTTGAGTTCCAACCACATTGTGATTTTCGATTTTACCTACACTCGCGTATGTTTTTTGCGACTAAATAGACGTACGTAGGTAATTACGAGGGCCGAAGAAGAGGAGGAGGAGGAGGAGAAGAAAAACGGTGGAGAGCAGGAGGGAGGGAAGGGGAGAACACACTTGGTCGAATGTCCGTGTGATTTCGTGGGAGGATATCGCGCGTACTTTTCCTCTCGCCGCAAAGACGAAAAGAAGAGAAAGACGGAGGCGGCTATATGGAGTGCGAGGGAATGTCTTGCTGGGAGGGGAGGGGNGGGGGAATAGTGATGTCGGCGATTTTCCAAAAGACTGAAGAGAGGGAAGGAAGAGAAAGTGTCGGTGGCACTTTCGTGCGAGCCCCTCGCGCGTCCAGGTGGAGAGGGTCGATGGAGGAAGAGGAGGAGAAGGAGAGGGGGGAGGTATCTATTAATAGTATTACTAGGGAGTAGCGTGTAGCCTGTGTAAAGAAAACGAAAAAAAATATTATGATTTTTAAGAGAAGCCGATCGCACCCGCACGAACGCGCGAGAGGGGAGGGTGGTTATTTTTTTTTCTCTTTTCTTTTCCTAGGGAAGGTGTATGAGAGACATTTTAAGAAGGGTGCGAGGAGGAAGCGAAAGAGATAACAATTGCGAAGGGGGGGAGAGGGGAGGGCGGAAAGAAAAGATGACGGAGCGATCCTGTCGCGCGCGACAGGATGTCTATTGGATGTGTATAAAGCGACATTGTAAGATATCATTGTAAAAAGAGGTTTTAACTTAAAATAAATTAAATGATAAATCACGCATACACCGACCAATCTTTAATCGAATATTATGTGACTATAGATGTGTATATGTACAATGTATAGCATTATGCTCTCTCTTACTCTCTCTCTCTCTCTCTCTGATCTTTCCATACCTGTCTTTTATTCTCTGTCTCTTTTCCTCTCTTTCTCCCCCTATATCTTTCTCTCGCGCTTAAGACCGCCCGTATCTTCTATCCCGCTGCCTCGGCTTAACACCCGATTTATAGACGCGAAGCGCGTCCGTTGTTTTTCTGCCGATCGCGATAACATCGTCGCGTTATCATCGATATCGGAACAACATAAATTTTCCTCGATGGCGAGATCAATGCGACGGCGCCGTCCTTTAATAAATCTCACGCGGCGTACAACCGGTATTACGGAATTATTAATGATTTTATTCTGCCTATCTCTCTCTCTCTCTCTCTCTCTCGTCGCGAGCGTGACGATGTCGTATCGTTATCGGGGCGACGACGCCGCGTCAACGCGCCGCTCTACGAATTGAATTTCTTTTCGCTTTGCGCGCGCGCGCGAGAGAGTGAGAAAGGGAGAGAGAGATCGAAAGAGAGATACAGAGAGCCGCGGACCCTTAATCAATCACGCGTGCCGATAATAATATCGTTATGGAATTATTAATGATTCCATCTCGCTCGCTCGCCCGCATCGCCGTAATGTCATTATCGGCGATGTCGTGAGCAAAATTCTTTCGCCGTTCCGAAACAATGCCGTCGTTGTGATAAATCGCGTGCAACTACGACGATATTACTCGCCCGTGTATACACGCGCCCGCGCGGGCGCGTGTTGCCCAATCCGACTATGCGCGGCGTGTATGTGCGCGCGTGTATTATCATCGTAACACGCTCGACATTGACGCACAATGTGCGTAGATCGCGCAGAATTCTATCAACGTTGTTATAGCGCGACACCATGATACGACCGCGAGGATTATGCATTATTAACCGCGACTAATCCGCGATTAATCACGAGCCTGTCAGCGGGAGATAGAGAGAGATAAAGAGAGAGAGAGAGAGAGAGAGAGGGAAAGAGACGGACAGCTCGTTTTCGTCTGCAAACGTCGTCGTGTCAGCCGTTCTACGCGTTGTCTCGAGGACGATCTATTTCCGGAGACGTGTCTTTTTTTTCCTTTTCACCGTGCGAGACTTTCCGCGTGCTCGCGAGATAGAAACGTCGAGTCGATCGATGTGAGTTATTGGTGGGAAAAACAATCTTATCTCTTATCAACGGCCGGTGGATCGGATCGACGGATCCATCGGGCGCGCGAAATATCAACCTCCCCCTCCAAAAAAAGAAATCAAGAGGTTCGTCCAATTTCCGAAGCGTCGCTGAGACCACGGGTCTCTCTCTTTCTCTCCTCCCTTTGAAGGAGGCCGGAGGCTGAAACTCGCTCGCGTCGTACGTCGTGAGACAAAGCAGCAGGGGGAGGGGTCCGGATCGATGTCGATTAGTTCGTTCTCCCCCCGCCGCGCTCCCTATTAATTAAAAGGCGTAACTTAATTGAGTCTTATCGGGTGGACGAGGTGTTTACATGTAAATCGAGGCAGCATCGCGAGCGAGATAACACGGCGCGCGAATAAATCCATTCCCGCGATATTACGATGAAATATCGGTAGCCGCGCGCGACAACTTCGATCAGCCCGACGTGTTAACGATTACGGCGAGATAGAGGAAAAGGGGGGGGGGGAGAGGAAGCCGAAAACCGTGACGCGAGAGCGGATGAAAAGAGACGGGCGGAGGAGAGCATCCAATAACCAGTCCTAGCGGGGATCCACTTTTTCCATCCGATCCTCCCCGAGCGATCTCGAACGATCGAGCAACTCTCGCGAAGTCGCCAAGACGTCTCTCTCGCTGCGCAAGCCG